TCTATGCTTTCTTGAAAACAATAACTGGCTAGGTCAGAGAAAAAAAATTCCAAGTTTTACATTGGATAACTAGAAGCATTTTTTTTGGATAACATCAACTTCTAAAATTTGTATCTTCATGATGACAGAATTGGTTCCATTTGGTTAAGTTTGCAATATCTTTTGTACAGACTGATAAATCTACTAAATACAAACTGAAATAAGTTCATTTATTTTACATAAAAGTCTTTAATCTCAAAACTTCACATTGTATTTCAAAATCTACCACTTGAAATTTCAAGCTCTTTTATTTACAATTTGAAGCTTTCGGTTATTATTTCAGAGGTTGGGTTGGATGAGGTTTAACAACTGTAGTAAAAAAGTTAATGGGGGTCTATTATACAGTGTAATTCCTGGTCCTGAGAAAGCCTGACTTTTCATAAATAAGTATAAAAATACTAACTCAAAACCCAAAATCTAACTGATCGTGGCTCAATCTTGAACATTCTTCTATCTCTCAAAGACACAAAATAATTCAATTATAAAAGAAACACTGCTTACTTTAAGAACTGAGTTTCTTTCAAAATCACCAGTGTCCACTCTGAGCCTGCCTTTCACAAAGCTGTGCCAGAATCAATCATAATGGAACACAAAATAAGATTTTTTTTTCCTTTGTAAAGTGATATACACATGCACATAAGTTTCTCCTCCACAACAGAGACTGGTAATTACTGAAGGATGCTGATCTAGGTTAAAAGGACTTGACAACCTAATCTAAATACATTCCAGAACCAACCCCATCAGACCAAGAATGCACAATCTGGTGGCCTCAAATGGGGAATAAGAAATTAGGAGGCCATAGAAAACAGTTACAATTTACAAAGGTTGGCTTTTGCTAGCATTCCTTCAGTACTTAAGTTTATACATGATATAAACTGTTTTACTCTTTAGAAATAGCATTCAAATCTAGAATAAGGTGAGGCTCAATGATCAGAAATACAAAGAATTTAACTTTGCTTTATAACTGAATGTGAGTCCAGGAATTCTGTGCAACAGAAAATAAATGAAACAGATTACAGGGGCACAGAAGAAGTAAAGTATTTTGTATGCCTGAGTTTTTCTTCATACCTTAGTATTACTACTAAGTAATTAGTATTACTTTTTAAGAGTATAATGAAAATTAGAAGCTTTGGATTCAACTAGATAATAAAATACATTATGTATCATGCAATTATACTCAGGACTTGCCAGATAGCCTTACGAGCTTTGATTTTTTTTTTTTTCTGTCTGAATAATTCGAAATCTATGCTTTTTCCAAGGTTCATTTTCATCACATCAGGAAAAGCCTGACCCAACCTGAAGCCAGGTGACAGCTGCTTCAAAATGTAACCTACTTATTGATGAAAAGCTAGAAAAGTAAATGAATGACTGCTATTGATTCCCATGATAGCTCTACACAGAACCACTAACTTCTCTAGATTAGTGCATAGATACCAATTAAGCTTTATTTCATATGTAAATGGAAGCATAAAGAGGTAGGAAAAAAATAAGTCATTGCATGGCTTTATCATAATAGCACAAGGCACCCATTTTGAAAGTCACTTCAAACAAGTTCTTGTTTATGGAGCTCTCTCTTTCTCTTACACAGGAATTTTAAAAATAAATTCAAACTCATACAGCTGTGTATACCCAAGAAATACCAAAAAGTCACAAGGCATAGTTAACATTCAGCTGTTTTTCTCTGTCCAGTGTTATCAACAACACATAATGAATTAGTTCATACATCACAGCTGTGTAGTCGAGACTAATTTGGCTAATTTAACTATTCCAGTCAAGTTCAGTCAGGAGCTTGCTCTGGTTTAGATAATTCACTAAGTTTATATAAACTACAACATAAGCTTTCTATCATTACTATGCATTTCTCTTTGTCTTCTTACAGAGAGCTGATTTGATGTCATCTATTGGCATTATCCCTTGGGTAGATTTTTGGAAAGGTTCATAAAAACTATTACCCATAAAAATACACAGCAACCGCTGGGTGGTGACAGCACACACCTTTAATCCCAGCACTCGGGAGGCAGAGGCAGGAGGATCTTTCTCTGTGAGTTTGAGACCAGCCTGGTCTACAAGAGCTAGTTCCTGGACAGCATCCAAAGCCACAAAGAAACCCTGTCTCGAAAAAATTAAAATTCTATTATCAATAAAACTAAGCAAATATAAATACTAAACTGAGCTGGTATGACAACTCACACCTATAATCAAAGCATTTAGGAAGTTAAGTATAAGGACTGTCATTAATTTATTGCCAGCCTGGGCTACAAAGCAAGATCATGTCTCAAACTAAACAACAGAAACACCTTCTCCTTGAGAAAAACTATCCATGGGTTCACCCTGATCCTTCTTCAAGAAACTGAGAATTAGGAACATTCATTGGTCACAGTTTCATTGGCAAGTTAGCCCCCAAAACCCAGTTTGTGGTTCCCTTCCTTATTAATGAGTAGCAATAATTAAAAGAATGTTCTGACTTACTTTAAAATGAATGTAATTCGAAACTAATGGTCATCTTGGTTGCTAAAGAGATTTGCACTGCCTCCAGTTTCAATTATCAATAGCAGTATTCCAATTAGCAAGGATCCTTTCAAACTGCTTAATTCTGCCACTCAAAACCACCATCTACTAATAATGAGTATCTATAATATTAGAGATTATTTTCTTAATAAAAATACACTTAGTGTTGTTCTCAGCTGCATATTTCAAATTCAGAAATACTTGAAGGCATGGCCCATGTAAAAAAGAAGTCTAAAAATCAAATTTGGAGCTGAGACCTGAAACTAACTAGTTTTCAAGTGATAATGACAATAAACACCTGTGACATACAAAAGCAGAAAATGCAAACAGGAGCATATCTCAAGTTTGTTACAATGAATCAAACAGGCATTTATACCCAAATCTTATAAATGTATTTTTAGTATATAAGCATCATCTTAACTAAAGAGCTGAACTGTGAAATATTTGCTTCCTACCCAATTTCATTCCTGAAAACAAAATAAATACTACACATCTAATTTTGATTGGCTTAGGTGTTAATCCTCACAGGTGCAAAGAAAAATAAAGAATTTCATCTGCATAGTTTGAAACTATTATCCATCTCTGCTTGAGACACAGAACTATAATCATCCCTCAACGTCTACAAAATGATAATATGATATAGTGTATAATGACGATTAAGTCATATAAACTACCCAAAACCAGCAGAACAAACAATTGTCATTCATCCCCTGTTCCTGAATCCCAAGACTGGGTCCAATATGGTCATACACACAGCTGAACACACATTTCCTGGTTATGTGCAATCTGCACAGATAGACCAGCTTTACAGGCCTGACCACAGAGATTAATAGCTTTAGCCAAATAATGTGGTAACCATGTGAACCTGGGCTGCTCCAGCTTGTTTGTGAATCTCTCAGCAAGGCTCAACATGCCGTTATCTGCATCTTGTTGCCAGGAAACACAACATCGCTTTGGAATACAAGGAAAACCAGGTTGCAATGACCACAGGTCAACTCCCCAAAAGCCTAATTTTTGACAATTATTTATAATCTTATGTTTCTTCTTGTAGTTCACTGAGAATTTCATTACTAATTAACGGTTCATATTTCCAGCTATGTTATTACTGCAGGGCTACTTAAGTGTAGTAGCAGCAATATCAATTTTAATAGCAACTCACTCATACTTTTCCTCTCCTGTCATATAAATATTAGTAAACATCATTAATACTAATTTGGAAATCAAGCTCCTACTGTATAACTACTTTATAACTAATCCTACAGTGTATGCTAAAGACTCTAAATCTGTCTACTTTTCAGCAAAATAATCTTACAAGATATAAATGCCCAATATGTTGTTGACCTAAGAATTTTTGGACCTTCTGGAACAAAAATGACTGTCTTGCCTTGCTTGGTATAACAGATTGTAATGTGTTAGACAAGGATCCTGCTACTTTCTTTCTGACCAAGCCAAACAGAAACTTAATGTACCAAAATGTTCAAGTACTCAATGGACTGGAAATCTGCTTCATAAGTGAAGTGAGAGGCCACTGCTCTGAAGTGTCTGCAATCTGGAGCTGGAAGGATTAGAGTAGCTTTGAGAATTCATAAACTTAATTACTCTTGACAGAACAATTAGAATTGCTAGCTCAGGGACAATACAGTTTTTGGACCATACTTATTAAAATGATTTTTAAGAAATAGGGGCTGTGGTGATGGTTCAATCTTCTTGCAGAGGACTAAGGTTCAGTTCCTAGCACACACATGGAGGCTCACAACAGTTTCTAACTTCAGTTCAGGGTATCCAAAACCCTCTTCAGGCCTCTGCAGGCATCAGATGCACATACATTCATGCAGGCAGAACAACACTCAAACACATTCAAACACCATCAAAATCAAAATAGCATTTTTGCATATATATATCGTGTGTGTGTGTATGTGTATAATATATATACATATTACATGTATAATATATGTGAACATCCCTCAAAGCCTACGCACGCACGCACGCACGGACGCATGTATATGGGAAGAACTTCTGAATTATTTATATAAAAATTATTTAATCATACTGATGAGGGCCACAAAAAGCTCCAAATATTATTTCACCTATTTAAAAAACAGCTATCTAACACATAAAAATTTAAAAACTAGATAAGTATTCACTTTAAGATGCACATGGCTTTTCTTTTGAAGTCAAGATGATCACAATTAAAATAGTACTCGATTCACAACACTCAATGTATATATAACTTTCATTCATACACACACTAAACAGAATGACATCTAAGTTGCTCAAATCATAAACAGAGACATTAAAACTCAAACACCATGAAAAATCAGAATAGCATATAAGCCACAAAAAAGAAAATTAAACAAAAACTTAGTACACTACTGAAAGAAACCACTATGCCAAAATTTCAGCTTCTTTTTCTTCCTTCGAACATTTAACAATTTTTAAGTTATAATACATACCCATACTTCATTCTCATTCTGTCATTTTCTGGGTTACAATAAAATCTTTCCAAGTGCTCCTGAGAATCATTGGAAACACTTTGCCACTTCTGAGTGGTTGTCCTTTTGATCTGCCAATGATAGGGCAATATGGTGTGATGTTTCAAACAATCCCTGCCATAAATGCAAGTGCCTTGCAGAAAGTCCATGCAAATTTCAATCCCATTCTCTTGGTGAGTATGGTACTGTAGCTGGTTTACTAGCTCAAATACAAGGTCAAGGGAAGCTTCCTCACTTTTGTCTTGGAAGAGCTCAGTACTCAGCTTATCACTGGTATCCAAAATGTACTGGATTGTAAAACTATTGTCTTGGAAAGTTCCTGGAACATAATCCATAACTTTGTCTATGCAGTCAGGACTAGTAGGAACATCACCTGAAACAGGATGCAAAAGGTCAGTTTGGAAGTGTCCTGTTGTAGAATCTGTCACTGTCCCACTGATGGTTTCTGGTGGAAAACTGTGATCCTGGATTGGAACCACCTGTTCTGGAGCATCAGTAGAAGGATGAGCTTCTGGTAACTGGCCCTCAACATTTGTCTCATCAGGAATCAGGACAGACATACTGTTTTCTGCTGGTGAACATGATGGGTTGAGTTCCAGGGGTTTTTTCACCATACGTTCATGTAAGCTGCTCTCATCTGCATTTTGGTCTCTAGCTCTAAAAACTCCATCAAGCGAGCCAGATTCTAGCAAAGTATTTAATATTGGTCTCAAAGACCTCAGGGTTCCAGTTCCCAATCGTTTCTGATCCTGTTTTTTCTTAAAACAAGTTTTCAATGGACTGATCTTCTCAGAGATTCTCATTTGGCATGAAAAGTCGTCAGGAGGAGAGGGAGGCTGTACTACACAGTCTGGCTCAGGTTCAGTGGTTTCCATTTCCATGATGTGGATTAGCCCCAACTTCGACTCAGTATCTACAAATCCTACCAGGAAAGAAAGAAAGGTGATCATTTGAAAACTGACAACTGAATCCATTCATTCATTAAAACTTTTTGTGTTGGTCTATCTGCAATCACTGCTTCATTATATTTAGCTCTTGCAGGGCAGTTTTCACTTTTATTGAGCAATGAAGACTCCTAAGTTATCCTAAAACCTGAACTAGATAATGGTAGACTGAGAATGTATCTTTCAGTAGGTATGTATCACTTATTCACAGGCTTAATCTATATAACAGGCTGTGATTCTATTGGGGTATGAATTTATATTGTGAGGCAGAAATAACTGTCTTTTTTAGATGAAGCAGAGAAACCACATCTCCACTTAGCTTTGTGGTTCCATTCACAGTTGTTTATGTATGATCTGTCTCATGAGTTTGCAAAAACTTGTTTCTTTGGGAGGGAAGTTCATCAAAAAGATAAACTTTAATAGTTAAAAAGTGAAAGAACTGGGTGGGGGAGGATGTGTGTAAGAATAGACATAGGAGTTTTCAATTGAATTGTGATAGAAGAGAAAACCAGGAGCCTGCTATCATTTTTATAATCTGAAAGTTGCAGTATTTAAGTCCCAAATGTGAAAGATCTGCTTTTACAATTAACAAAAACATTAACAAACTGAAAGAATATCAGAACATGCTTAACTTCAATAGTCATTGTACTGTGTGTTAGTAACCAAGTATAACACAATTATACAAAGGGTCTTCTAGTCCTTGTCTTTAGAAGCTACACATACCCATTTAAAAAAAATCAAATGATAGTAAATTATAAACAAAAAATACACATATAAAACACTAAATTTTAGAATCTGAATGAACTGAGAGAAACTAAGAAATTTTCTTTCAAGAACCAGCCCCTTTACAACGAGTAAGATTTCCAGGTATTTACTAAGGTTGTACCAGATGAGAAGGGACAGTGATGAACAATTAATGGTCGTCTTTTTTCTTGTTCAATAGACTGAAAGAGCCCTTTGATGCAAGAACCTATGATTTAATCAAGTATGCACCTTAGGGGACCAGTACAGTACCTAGTACAATGTGCACTACTGAAGATGACTATATATATTTTGTGGCTGCATTACTGAAGAAAAAGCACACATTAGATTCTTTGCTCTTGGTTGAAGGTCAAAACCAAAAATGATAAAACTGCGTGCTTTTGAAAACGAATATAAAAATCTAGAGCGACTTATAAGTCTGTGTATAAAAAGTGCTTAATAATCAAAACTCAGAAAAATACAAGGCATGGAACAAAGTGTTAGTCTAAGTACAAAAGAGATTTTTTTTTTTCAGAGAGTTCAGTATGAGCTGGCTGGCATTGTTAGAGAAAGCTTCACGAAGGAGGGATCTGACATGAGACATAAATAACTGGAGAGCAGCCAAGCCAGGCGTTATTATTCATCATTCGGTGCTCTTGCCTCAAGGCTCAATTGGCACAGATTGTGGTATTCCCTCTCCGTATCAAACCGGCCTGTGCCTTCCCCCACGCACGCACGTTATCCACTCTTATCACACCAATCCAGGCAAAACACTAAAGCCACCTTGTTTATACGTGAACACACAGGCGCGTGCACACACACACACACACACACACACACACACACACACACAAGAGAGAGAGAGAGAGAAGCTCGCACACAACTTTCCTCTTAACTGCCCTACAAACTCGGAAACAGAACTGGGAGGCAGAGGAGTGGAGTGCGGAAGCCACCAGTTCCTCAATTAGTTTGCATAACAGAAAAATAAAGACTGGAAGGACGTTTCCTCCGGTCGCCCGCAGCGGGCAACCCAATCGCCACCCTTCACCTCGTGACGCCCTATTGAATTCTTGGGCAGAAGATGCACACAGCTCTGTGTTTTTATTGCTGCTTAAGAGTCCCCTGCCATCTTCTAGGAAATGACATGTTTATAAATTCGGGCCAGGAGCACATGTGTGCCATGTCTAGCTTGATGTCTGGGTGATTGGGTCCTCAAAGCTTAGCGTGAGTCACTGCCAGGATTGGGAGCTTCCTGCCAGCTCTTGGCCTGGTGAGAGGATGTTTCTCTGTGAGGATATCTGCCAGCTGTTCCTGCTTCCTCATCGATGGCCCTGAGCATCCTGAGGCTATAGTGAGCTTTGAAAGATAGAGACTATGCCTTACCATCTGGTTATTTACAGCCAGGCTCTTCATTGCCATGCTGAAGTTCTATAGAGAGAGCTAAGCTTTGGTGTAGATACTGCTGTCTGCACTGGCCACCCAACCTTACTTCATAAGTCAAAATACCTATTAAGGTTGGTTTTAATGTCAACTTGCCACAAATTGGAATCGCCTGAGTAGAGCACCTCACCTGAAAAACTGATTGCCTTGACTCACATGGGAAGACCTGCCCAGATTGTGGGAAGCACCTTCTGGTAACAGCCCTCACAAAAAGAGCATGGCAGAAGGGAGGCCATCTTGCCATTTGCACACTTGGCCTTCTCTCTTCCCACTGCGTTGATTTTCCCTGTGGCTTACAATGATTACTTCTTTGCAGATGTTAGAACTGGTGTTTCCTGATTTCATCAGGGGCTAGAGGCCAGGGGCTTTCCAGGAACCTTTGGGGCTTGCTTGACAAAAGCTCCCTCTGTATCCAGGAAAGATATATTCTATGATTTTGTCAAGTCCATCCTTGTTTCAGATCCCAAGTCTCTACATGAATGGCTGTAAACCTGGGAGCATAGTGGGTTGGGAAGACCCTGGGGCTGAGGCAAGAGTCTTCAACAAAGGATAAAGAGACCCTGGCTCCTTCAAACAAACCACTATCAGAGCAAGATTTGTTTCTTTTTCCCAACTCTGTAATAATATAGCCATCCTGCTGTGTGTTTTTTTTGTGTGTGTGTGTCCGTGTGTCTGTGTGTGTCCGTGTGTCCGTGTGTCCGTGTGTGTCCGTGTGTGTGTGTGTGTCCGTGTATCCGTGTGTGTCCGTGTGTGTGTGCGCGCGCGCGCGCGTGTGTGTGTGTGCGCGCGCGTGTGTGTGTGTCTGTCTGTCTGTCTGTGTGTAAAGGCAGCGCCGCGTGGGACGGGCTCCACCTGCCTGCGGACGGATGCAGGGTCACAGTGTTCCCGTGGACACCAGGGCACGCGATGTGAGAGAGGATGTGAAACGGAACGACCGGTTTCGGTGCGGTTGCCTTTGTTTATTCGCCTTCTTACGAGACGCCTCCGGATCCCGAGGGGAAGCGAGTGGCCGCTGCTACCTCCAGCCCCGCGCCGTACGGGCGGGAAGGCTGCGCCCACCCCGCCGCCCGTTCTCGGACACCGACTCAGCCTCCGCTAGGGGAAGCCAGCGCTGGGGTTTTGACAATAGAGACGCGTAAGCGCGTGTTTTACAGCCCACGGACGCCGTAATGACTAATTCATTTAGCAACTCGGCACCCAGGACGCGCCGAGCGTGTACTACGTTTAGAGCTAGAGCCCTCGTCACCCAGACCCCACGCCTGCCCTCACGGATGGTGGGGACCCATGTGTTAACCTAAAAAATGTACATGAAACTGTCATCCTGATTGCAAAGGGCCGGTGGATGGTAACTTCATGTATTGAATAGGTTTCCCGCAGTAGGAAAAAAATAGTATATTAAATTAGTATAATCGGAATTTCAGAAAAATTAAAAGGTCCTAGTTATTTCAAAAATGGGATACTGGAAAAATAGATGCTAAGAAGAGGTTGTAGTTCCCAGGTTTATGACATTGCTAAACCAAATTAATGATCATCCAGCAGTGTTGTTTCAAATTGCATCATGTCAGGGCCCTCAAACCAAGATGGGAAGGTTGGGCAGAATTAAGAGACCAGTACCTAAGCAAAATAAAACGCTAGCTTTAAAAAATTATAATAAGATCGTAGCATTTCCAGCTTTTTAAAAGTTGTACCAACTTCACCTACAAACTTAATGGTTACCTAAAAAATTCACAAAAACAATGTTTTAAGTAAGTTTACGATTTTATGTTGGGCTTCATTCAAAGTTAATCCTGGGGCACACATACATGTAGTCCTCCTGTTTCAGGTTGTTGCTACCATATTTGGGTTTAAATCTACCATCTCACTGTTTATCACTGTTTGTCTCATCTATTTTGTTTGTTTGTTTGTTTGCTTTTCTTTAGTGCTATTTTTTAAATTTCATTCTCGTTCAACAATTTTTGTTATACATTCTTTATACTTTTAGTAATGTTTCAGTTACTGCTGTGTACAAATTCAGCCCAAAACGTAGTGATTTAAAACCATAACTGATTTTTTTTTTCCAAGATTCCAGACTTTTTGCTCAAGAATTCTATCCGGACGTAGTACCAGTAGCTCATTTGTAGCCTGGCCTGGCTAGTCTCACTCAAAGGCCCTAGAACATGAGGTTGGAGCTAGAGTCTTATGCAAAAATAAGCTGACGATGTGGAAAATACAAAGATGGAAGTTTTTCTTCTGTGTGGATTCTCCACCTGGCTGATTTAGGCTTCCTCATAAAATGATAATATGGGTTGCAGGAGGGGGCATTCCAAGAGAACAAGCTGCAGGATGGAAGGTTTTGCTTACATCTTGATTACTACTATTTCTTTGACCCAAGCAAGTCACATGATCAAGTTCAGCATCTAAATGGGAAGATATTTTATATAAAAGGCTATGGGTCACTTAAATTAGGGACAACTAATCTTAATTCAATTAAGAATTCGATTAAGGGTTGATAATTAGATGTACTTCCAGATCTAGTTTTATTCTTTAAATACTGGTTTCCAGAATGTTGGAACCCATATTCTGAAAGAGAGAAAGAAAGAAAGAAAGAAAGAAAGAAAGAAAGAAAGAAAGAAAGAAAGAAAGAAAGAGAAAGAAAAGTTGGAGGTGAGAGGGCTGGAGAGATGGCTCAGTATTTAAGAGCACTTGCTGCTGTGTCAGAGGACCCAGGTTCTATTCTCAGTAACCACATGGCACCTAACACCGCTTTATAGCTCCAGTTCCATCAATCTGATTCCTCTTCTGACCTCCATAGGGACCAGGCGCAAACAAGATACATACATACATGTAGG